GAAAGGACGAGGCGGCTCAGGTCGCTTGCTTGCTGCTCAAGCGACCCGACATGCGGAAGACGGTCCTGGTGGCTCTGAGGCTCGAGGAGGAGGCGAGCGACGTCGCCGATGACGCGCTGCCGGATTGGCTCATGAGCTGGATGATGGTGGAAGACATACTGGATAGCATGAGCGATGCCGAGGTCGATCTGGGGGAAGGGTTCCGGGATGCTATGATGGCTGCTATGGAGGGTAACATACCGGATGATCTGGAGGATGACATGGAAGATGATTTGGAGGATGATGATGTGGAGGATGACATGGAGGATGATATGGAGGATCTCGATGCTGAGGATTGAGACGAAGGGTTTTTTGGTAGCTCCTACACCATAGGTAAAAGGATCGCTTTGAAGCTTGGGACCTCGCTTGCGGGGCACCATAAGGAGGTTTTATGTCTCGTCGAAATTTTCATATGGCGTAGGTGCGATCCAGACTATTAGTGCACGGCTTTTTCCCCCCTTTGGTGTCGATATCCTGGTTTCTTCTCTTGCCCCTTTTGCAACAGCTCCTGTAGCTACTCACCACCCATATATACCTCTGCTCCCACTCCAAACAACGAAAGTCCATATCCAGATTCACTCCAACCGACCCTTCGTCTTTCGTTCGTCTCCGACCTCTTCGCCTTGTCTGTCGCTCTGCTTCTCGTCTCTCGTCTACTCAGCCCCTCTCGCGCACCGCCGGCTTCACCGAGCCATTCTCCCGCCGTCCACTGCGCCTGTCGCTTTCTCTTTCTCCCCTTCCTTCTCACTACTTTCCCTATAAGCCATCCCTGGCGAGATCCGGGTTCTTTCTTTCCGACGGGTACCGCGAGGACGACGGGGCTTCGCCGTCCACAAGTTTTCGACCTTGCGGCTGTGAAAGGGGAATTCGCAAAAGGTCGCAGGAGCTGCGTCCCCTTACTCTGCCGTCACCGCTTTCCCCGACGTATCTACGCCCGAAACTCTTGCTCGGGAACGGCTGCGCGACCTTCCGCGTCTCGGCATAGTTGTATTACTTTCGTTTGCCTGCCACCCATTGCGCTGATCTCGGGGCGGTGCGCACTTCCCTCCTGCACTCCTCGACTTCGTTGATACCTTCCACGGTTGCCATTCATTGAACGCAGGGGACGCTTTGTTACTGCTGGATTTTCGAAAAGTTTACTCGACTTCATACCCGCCGTCGGAGAATTGGCCGAAGGAAGCGTAACCCCGAAACATGTCGCACCAGCCAAAGACTACGATCCATGTTACCAATATCACCAGAGACAAAGCCACGCTGAAGCGCATGTTCCAGGAAATGGAAGGGTTCCGGCGGATATCCTTTCATCAGGACTACTGCTTCGTATGCTTCGACGACCTTGGCTCCGCTACGGACGCCATTGACGAGATTCACAGCCAGGTATGCGTGTCTCGTGGCGGATGACAGGAAGAGCTCATGCGCTGATTCGCCGACGCTCTCGAACAGACCGATATGCTGGCAGCCTATGCTAAGCACGGAGTCGCTTCCACCACAACTCCGACCATCGCCGTGCAACCAAACCCCATCCTCTACGTCAGTTTGTTTTCATATTTCACAGAGACCGAACTTACCCGCATATTCCGAACGTACGAGGGCTTCGATAGGTAGGCACACTTACAAGTATGTGTCGTCTGTTATGGTACCTGTTGGCTGAACCGTTTTGTCTTGTAGCTGTCGCTTCTTTCCCAGTCATGCGCTGGTACGGTTCAAAGACATGGAATGCTCAAAACGCGCCCTTGAAGATCTCAACTCTACCACAAACCTTTTTGCAAACTATTCCACGAAGGGCGCCAAACAGAGCGGTGGCCGCTCACGACGGGGAACCGTCAGTTCGACTTCTGGAGCGCCGACCATCAATGGCAGCGTCTCCCAGACCGCGACATCCATTCCAGGGCGAGGCGACAGGGCCGGCGTCGAATCCTCTTCGCGTCGTGATGAGCCCGGCGCCGTAACAGGATCCGGACATCCGAAGCGCACCATCCATGTGACCAACATTGACAACGACAAGGCTAGCATCCTCGCCCTCTTTTCAAAGTACGAAGGGTTTCGTCGTGTGGCGTTTTACGCGGACTACTGCTTCGTCTGCTTCGCCGATACCCGCACTGCCTCGAAAGCCGTGGAGGAACTATTATTCAAGACCAAGATGAAGGCCAACTTCGCAAAGGCCGATTTTATTCCGCACCCCATACCATCCTCTGCCATCGGGCATCCAAACTTCATTATCCGCGTCTCCGACTACCCTTCGAACACGACAGAGTACGACCTTGTTCACCTCATGGAACGATACGAAGGCTTCCAGGACGTGCATTTCTATCATGCTTCCTGCTTGGTTTACTATAAAGATCAAGCGTGCGCGCGTCGAGCCCTGGAGGCTTTGAACGACACCACAAACTTCACCGCCATATATTCGAAGAAAGGCATAAGCTCGCGTTCTCGGGGCGGAGTGTCCTCCGGAACGCGTGGGGTTCGCTCGAGCGCGATTTCTGTCGGCGTATCTGGCCGTCCAGTCGCCACGACTGCCTCTTCCACTACCACCACAATTTCTGCCACTATACCACCGACCGGTCAGTCCTCCTCGGACTCTACGGTCACGACCGTCGAAGACGAGTCCTCGTCATCTCCTCGCGGAAGCCCGATCCCGGCGATGCACCGCGCTACTGCATCAGAGGATGACGAGGCAGAGTCGGATGAGGAGACTGATGACCAGGAAGAGGGATCTGACGAAGTGCCATCGCAGTCTTCCGTACCGAGCAGGTTCATCCAGCCTGATTCCGTGGATGACGACGCTACCCTTGCTGTCGCCGCCGAGCTTGCTGACGGCGACGATGTTCTTGACGGGACTGTGCCGGGAGATGAGGAGGACGACGCGATAGTCGGAAATTTCCCAGTGTCTGTCAGCGACGAGTCGAAGAGCACAGAGTCTGATGAACTTGAAGCTACCGACATATTCCTGCACGAACATGTTGCGCAACACATGCAAGCATCCCCTCATGAGGAGCTTCTTCATCATCATCAGCCAGGTCCGCAAGAGATTCACAAGCACATGCACTTTGCGACCTTCACCCAGCAGCACTTCCACATGTCACCTCAGTCGCATCTGTCCCTTTCGGGACTGCCGGCGCAAGGTCTCGCGCAGTCGTACGCACCTTCTGGAAAGCTTCCTGTCCATCCGTATGCTCTCGCCGCTACCAACAGCGACCGCGAGCAGCAGGAACAACATCAACAGCATCAGCAGCAGCAATCCACTCCCTACGATCACAACAGTCTTCTTTTGGAGAAGTCGGGCATCGAGAACCAGCTTATGGCGGCAAAGTCGTTCATCGATGACATGTTCCAACAGTACCTCCACCTCGAGCAGGAGAATCGTCTGCTCCGCGAATCTCATCTGCATCATTCCCAGCAGCAGCAGCAGCAGCAACATCAACAACAGCGACAAATACAGAACATTCCTCAACATCAACAGCAAGATCAAGGAGACTTCAGGCCTCCACTACTCGGCTCAACGAACCCGCTTTCCGGTGACGAAAGCTACGCACACGGTCGAAACGTGGATCATTTACGCGGCTTCTCGGATGGTCGTCTCACGGCCGGTGTAGCAATTCCGGGCACGTCCGGACCTCTGGCTCACACGGTGGTCACATCGGTCACAAATGGCTCCATTCATCAGCCGGCAGGCGCCGGGATGGTGACTGGTGATGTTGGCATGAGTCTCAATATCAGTACGGGCAAGTACGGCACCGAGAATGCCTCATCAAATGGCAGCGCCTCGCTGGACATGTCCCCGGAGGAACTGCTGCACCAACAGCATCAACGCCTTCAACAGCATCTGCCCGCCGGTTCTCTGCCCGGGGGTCCCTCCGTGATCGCGTGGCCGCAATTCGCTCAACATCCGCAGGCTCTCTTCCATCAGCATCAGCAGCACATTCAAGCTCAGCAGCAACATCTTCAGCAACAACAACACCAGCAACAGCACCAGCATCAACACCAGCAGTCTCTCTATCCCGAACAACAGCACGCATCTGGTGGCAGGCCTCACACGGGAGATCACGCCGGCCCACCGGCCCTCATCGTCGCAGTTAACTCGAACTCCACCCCCGCTCCTTCACAACAACAAACCGCCAGCATCAACTCGTCGGCACCCTCGGCCACAACGAGGAACCTCAACGCTGGCGTCGCCGCTCAAAGCGCACCGGTTCCCGTGACCCCCTCATCATCCGCCTCCTCCTCATCGGCGACCATCGCCACCGCCACCGACGCGAATCCCGCATCCACCGCCACCGCCGCCTCTGTCGCTTCCGCCGCTTCGGAGCGCGAGAGGTCCCTCACTCGAGAGATCGCCCAGCTTCGCGAGCAGCTCAAACGTCGCAACGAGGAGTACGAAAGGTTGGACGCGGCTCACAAGTCGTGCGGCGTCCTGCAGGGTCTCCTCGCCATGTGCGAGTGAACGCAAAAGACGGGAGACACAGAGAGCGAGACGGGGGCGTATACAAGAGAGAGGATTTGCTGGGATACTTTACATTCGGAATTGAAAATAGCAACGCTATCGATCAACCTACCCGGCTTCCATCCATTCGCTCCCTACTCCTTTCATCCTGGTTCTCTCTGCTCAGCCCTTTCTTCCGTCACTTGATCCTTCCCACTTCCTCTCGTCGAAAATACACTTTGCCTTTGAGTCTACATTTGGTTCTCCGTCGATGATCTTGCTGCACGCAGCGACGCTCTAACAGAACACTCGCAGAAATCGAGAGCGACACAAATACCAAATCGGTGCAAGATAAACGCTCCGCATACCACTCGGCCATGATGCCGAGCGAGATGCAAGGCCCACGGATACGTTTTGAACCTCGACGGCATGACCAGCCCTTGCAAGAATCCACTGGCTTCCGCACAAAAAAATATTGGATGAGACCTGCTAGGTGATGGAATTGATCGACTTCAGAACGTTGACACGGTACATGTTCTCGTACACCCATCCAGGATTGAACTGGAGACCTTCTGCGAGTTAATTCCGACATCGCTGTCGAAAATGTTAAGCAGATGTTATAGCCAACTAAACCATGGGTGCATACCTCCAGAACCGCCATTGCCGTATACATTCGGTACTATTTTGAGTGACCGAGTTTTGAATGACCGAGTCTAGATTCGGGACTTTTTTGAGGAGATAGTTCCACTTGCTGCTCTCCTTCCTCACGTCGGTGCCGTGAATCTCTTTGAGAAAGCATGCGGCATCCGGAAAGCCCGCGAGTTCCCTTGGGTGGAAAGAGATGGTGGCTCTTTCGATGTGACATCGCTGAAGGACCAAATAATTTCCAAGAGCATCAATGTCTACGCCAAGCTTCAAAGCTTTCCGCAGAATTCTCTTCCGGTAGCATCCTCGACAACATTCTCGAAAGGAAAGGCTTGCGGGCCGTCAGCTGCGCAGCGATCATGACCGTCTCTTGCGTATTCCTGGTCATATCTAGAGCGCAGGAAGAGAATGACGGGGCAAGGCAGTCGATGTGGGCATGAAATGAGCTGACATTGCGACATTTCGTTGAACTGGGTGTAATCGGCCGTCGTTTGAGGAACAGGATTTGTCCCAAGCGAAGTACTGTGATCTTACTGGCGAATGCACTGAAGTGACGATTGGCAACGTTGAATGCTTGCCGTGACCTCCTAGAGTCATGAGTGGTTCCAAAAGCAAGTTGGAGACGAGTGGTTAGGAATGCGTGAGCAGGAGAAGGGGAAGTAAGAGATGAGCAGATTGTGTTCGTTTGCAGGTTTCAACGCGTTCGTCCGGTTCAGAAGTACGCGTTCGCTGCTTTCGATAGCATCTGACGGAAAGGCCCCGCCTATACACACCACACTTTCCGCATCCCTTCGTTGACCTCACCATCAGGACGTCGCCACGTTCACTAGAAGACCTACGGAAATGGCCGCCAGGAGCGACCTTCCCGACATCCCCATATCCTCTCCCAGTGACTACTACAAGGTCCTCGGCATCGACAGGTCCGCCGACAATGCCGCCGTCAAGCGCGCCTACCGCAAGATGGCGCTCAAGTACCATCCTGAAAAGAATATGACCAAAGAGGTCATGAACCAGTTCATGTTAATTGGGGAGGCATACGACGTTCTCATTGATGGTGAGAACCAGAGGCGCATGTGTGAACCACGGAACGTTTTGACTGATCGCTGATTTCCTCGTGTATACAGCAAAGCGAAGGGCAATATACGATCAGTATGGACCGAATGGTCTGAAGAATGGAGTTCCAGCTCGTGACGGTATGGTAGAGGCTGGAGTTAGTGTTGCAAAAATCTGAAAGTTGATCCAGGGTGAAAAATCACAGGTTTTGATGGGTATCCAGGAGGCTACCAGTATCACGGTAGCCCCGACGAGACTTTCTCACAGTTCTTCGGAGGGAAGAATCCTTTCACCGGTAGGTGTTTACATCAGGAAGATGAGTCCGAACGGAAGAGAAAAGTTTCCTGAAGGCAGAAGGCTTCTCTGGAAATCAGACTTCTTCGCCGTCCACACGGCAACTCCTGGACTGGCCGACGCATCCACGACGTCTCCCGCCTTCGGATCAAAGTTCGGTGGTCTCCACGGCATGAGTCGATCCCCCGACGACCCAAATCTCCTTCACGGACCTTCACACGATGCAGCTCAGGAAAGGGACTTGGTGTTGACTCTCGAGGAACTCTACCTGGGAACCGTCAAGAAACTCAAAGTGTCGCGGAGGGTACGCATAAACCAGGGTTAAGGCTCGATACCGCATCTCGTTGAAAGAGAATCTAAATCACAGGTCCTGAATGACGACAACACGACCACGTCGGCTCAAGAAGAGATCCTGACGGTTGATGTGCAGCGCGGATGGCGAGCAGGGACCAGAGTGACCTTCCCCAGTAAGGGAAACCAGGGACCCAACAAGATCCCCTCAGACTACGTTTTCATCGTCAAGGAAGCTCCTCACGCGTTCTACACCCGGAACGGCAACGATCTGATCTACACGGCCGGGATCTCTCTGTCGAAAGCGTTGACGGGATCCATCATCGAGATAAAGACCCTCGACGATCGGTTGCTGAAGATTCCCGTCAACGAGACCGTACAGTGAGTACATCGTTGTTAGAAAGTTTTGGAGAACATCAATGTCTGACGAAAGGCTTCCCACCCAGCCCCGATTATGTCAAGGAAGTCTCGCACGAAGGCATGCCCATTTCCAAGACGCCCGATCAGCGTGGTCGATTGCTCATAAAGTTTACGATCACTTTCCCAACCTACCTCAACGATCAACAAAAGAAGTTGATCAGGGAGGCGCTACCGGCGTGAGTCCTCTTCTTTCTTGGTGACTGTGCATGTTATAATGGAATGGAATGGCCGTGTGGAACCTGTGAGAAACGTTAGACAGCGCTTCCAAGGAAGCGAGCGATTGGGTGATATGCCTTTCTGATTTGTGTATTGTGCGAGTGAGAAAGAGTGGCCGCTTTCCCTTTCGAGTTCCCGATTGTGCAAAATAAGTCCTTCTGCTCGATTCCCTGCTTCTCAATGTTCCGTCGTGCTTTCCCCGCCACCGTATTACAAGAGCAAAAGTCTCATCGAGCCTTTCCTTCCGCAACCTGTCCGCTCGCCCCTGTCCCATGCAAAAAAAAAATGTCGATCGCCGCCACCCTGCCCTTCCTGATGTCCGTTTTCAATGGTCAAAGATCATTCTTCCATGTCCGCCTCGATTTCAGCGATGGGCTTTCCCTTCCTGTTCTTGGTCTTGCTGTTCTTGGGTCTACCCCTCTGCTTGTGGACCCTGTCCACGCAGTCGTCCCTTCCCTGCTCCACGCATCTTTTGCAGGGACGAGCCGTGTCGCACTTGAAGTGATGGTCCTTGCAATTGGTGCACGCGTGCTGGACCTGAGGCTGACGTTTGGCGGGCGTCGGCGGAGGAACGGCAGCATTGGCCGAAGAGGAGGAACCCGTCGAAGTCGGGGAAGTGGTGGTGTTCTTCTTCTGTTTCTTTGCGGTGTGGCTGGCCGCTTTGCTGGTCTTGGAAGCGGGAGCAGGTTTGGTCACGATCGTGGATGTGGGGATCGTCGGAGTGGACGAGGATCCCGCGATGGGTGAGAAGGGAGGGAATCCCGACAGGTGACCGAGTCCCTTCGGATGTTTGAGGAGACTACGAGATTGGTGATGGGGTGAACTCTTTCCGTGAGTTCCTACGCTTCCTTCGTCCATGTCGTCGTCGAAGATGTCTTCCCCGTAAGCATTAAGCAAAGCCGCTGCAATTTCCTCCTGCTCCTTCTGCTTGCGCTTGCGAGACGCGGATGCTGTCGACCGAGGCATGACGGAATGGTCGACCCTTGGTTCCAAGATCGCAGCCACGCCGAGAGACGCTCGGAGGTTGCTGATTGCTCGACCGTGATTTTTGCCGTGGGAAGAGGACGTGGAGGATGTGGATGCGACGCGACGGTTCGAGGACGGTCTGGTGTACGGGTCTGGGTGAGATTCGGCGGCGGACGGAGCCACGGGAGTTCCAGTTCCCGTTTGCATGAAGTTAGCACGAGGGTTGAACTGAGGAGGCATCATCCTGGGGAACGAGTACTGAAGGTGACAGAGTATGTGAGCAGGAAGCCTACGGTGGATGTACACCGAAAGCAGAAAATTCGTGCAAACTCACCATCGCAGTCGGAAGCTTGACACGTTCAGCGCCGGGAGCTACGAACATCTCTTTCGAGCCCTTTCGAGACCTCGGAACTGGAAACGGAGGAATATCCGCCATCGTCATCTCACTTAGATCCATTGGCTGCAACGAATCCCACATATTAGTCTGTCCTCTCTGCTGCTGCTGCTGTGCTCGTCTCCTAGAGGAAGTGGACTGGACAGGTGCGCGAGGAGGGAACATGTTGACTGGGGTTCCTCGCATCAGATACGCAGACTGAGGAAGAGGCAGCATTGCAGCGGCAGGATCGTGCATATAGTAACCTCCCTCGGGAAGCGGGTGGTGAGGAAACGCGAGATGTCCGAGAGGAGGCGGAACCTGCTGCTGTGGATGCATCGGGATCCCGAGAGGACTGTGCATGCGAGAAGAAAGAGCAGGCGGATGACCGTCGTTCCGAGCTGAAGCTGTAGCAGCCCAGTATTCATTCTGCATGTGCATCGGATACGTCGCAGAGTACGGACCCGCGAAAGGAAGCGAGGGTGGTCGAGCCCAAGCATCTTGGTGCTGCTGCTGGTCCAAGCGAGAGTCGGCGACGACAGGCCCGTCCGGCAGGCCCTCACTCCCGTCCGATGCATCCATTGGAATCACTTCCTCCTCTGTCTGCGGACTACGGTACTGCATGAAACCGTGGAACGTCGGTTCTAAAGCCGTCGGAATGCGGCTCTTCTTTGACGGAGGAGGCGGGGAAGGCAAAGGCGCCAAGTCGTCCCCGGAAGACGAGCTCGAGCTAGCCCATCGAAGAAGAGTCGGGATTTTCTGATCAGGCGGGGTGTATGATCTGTACAGTCCACCTGCAGCGAGTATCTCGCTCTGCAACGCCTTATCCCTGCTAGGAAGAGACCGAGCTCTCAGTCTCTCCTCTCGAGCCCTCTCAGCCTGGAACTCGGACCACGGACTCTTCTTGTCAGCCACGGAAGCGGACCGCTGTCGCGGCACCTCGTCTTGTCCCAGGTAAGCGTAGTTCTTTGCCACGTCGTCGGTGGTAGCTGGAAGCTCAATGGTCCCGTCGTCCGTTCTTACATCCAGGTTTTGGTTCGCAGTAGTCTTTGCCTTTGATTTTTTGCCTCGCTGGGGCTTGGGGTGTCGAGTGGCAGGTTCCGCTGCGCTCTCAGAGGCGATGGTACTCTGACGACTGCGAGATGCCATGGACCGACGATCATCCTCTGCCTTCAGATCAAAAGGCTCAAAGGATGTCACATCTTGCGAATCAAAGCTGCGCTCGTCGTAGAAAGATTCCTCGCGTCCGTAGCCTGGAAGTGAGAGCAGCTCAAAGTCTTCAAAGGATGACACGCCGTCCTGACTGTCGGAAGTGACTGAAGCAGGAGGTGGAGATGCCGTCGATGGAAGTGTAAGTTGCGCGTATGTGGTCGTCATGATTCTT